ACATAAATTTCTGGCTAAAGGACAGATTCTATTGGTGTGACCTCCAACCAAAGACCTGAATGGAAGACCGTCTTCCCATTGTTAGCTTAATGGAAATACGCAGAAGGGATGAGAGAAAGGAAGGGAAGAAGAGGAGGATGGAAAAGGATAGAAGAAAGACAAGAGGGAAGAGAGAAAAGGTGCAACGAAAAGGGAGAGTCTTTCTGAACAGAGTGCCGCTCAGCTTTTGTTGGCTTAATGGAAAGACGGAGGAGAGGAAGCGGGAAAAGAATGAAAGGAGAGGGAAGTAAAGGACTTCTGAGCAAGTGACGTCGGCCTTTTGTTAGATAGGGGAAGAATAAGAAAGAGGAAAAAGACTGAGGTTGAAGAGGAGGAGCGGATATGGGGACAGAGAGTGATAAGAGGTGAGTGTCAGCTGTAACAAAGCAAGGTCACGGTGTGGGGAATGTCTTCACTTGAAAGGGAACAAGAGAGGATTGGAGATTGAGACACACATACACCCAGTCGTCTCAGATCCTCTCTCTCTTGCTAACTTTGTCACGCACTCACACTTGAAGTATGGCAAAGTACCTTTATCACTTAATAGGCATTACTGTATATTCAAAAGAGGAGAGACACAAACTAGAGGGTGAAGCTTTTGGAAGGGGGGGGGGGGAATTAGGGGGCGGGGGGACAAAGGAAAGACCAGATACTGAGGTTTGAACAGAAGACTAGTCTAGATCTGGAGAGACTATTAGAGGTGATACAAGGTAACAAAATGAAGTAGAAGCAAAACGGAAGGACTTCAGGTGACTGTAAGTGAGACAAGATAGAAGTGTAAGATAATAAAAAATAGAGGGAAACAGATAAGGGCCAAGGACAAGAAGTAAAGCAAGAAGTAGAGAGAGAGGACAATGACAGGAGGGTACGATAGGAACAGAGGGTTTGGTAAGTAAAAGCCAAAAAAAGAGGTGTAGAAAAGTGGAGAAAGTTGAGGGAAATAGAAGATCAGTACAGTTTGGGAAGAACAAAGCAGAAGAAAAACCATGTACGGTAAAAAAAAATGTGGAATGAGTGGGATTTATCGGTCCATGCTGGTACAGACAGCAGGAGGAGAGGGAAGAAAGGAAAACTGGGTGGGTGGGAGGAGAGGCAAAGATGGTAAAGCAGATGATGGGAGCACAAAGGACGAAGAATACTACAGGAGACTTAGACTGAAAAAATGAATAAGAAATATAAACCAGTAAAGATGAGCATTATAGAGGGAAAAAGACAGATGTTTTGAGTTTTGAGACAAGCAGACAAAAATAAAGGAGGTATCATTTTTTTTAAAAAGGAGAAGGTAAATTTGGATATTGTTTTAGAGTAACCAACAAAGTAAAGTTGCATCTGATGCTAGTATAGGGAAATATGAAAGCAGAGGGAATAATTGTGGGGAAATAAAGTAATTGTAAAAGTGAGGACAACGGAAGGAATCAATAAAGGATGGAAAATGAAGAAGCAAGATAAAAGTATGCAGGAGTGGAGGGAAAATGAAAGCAGCAGATGGGAGGATAGGTGGGCATCATGAAATTAGGGAAAAATAAAGACTTTGACAAGGAGGAAACGGAGAAGAGGTATAAGAGTGAGGAGGGATTAAATAGAAGCAAGCAGAAAAGAGAAATGTCTTGGAAGGCCTAAAATAAGATGGTGTGAGATACAACAATGACACCTGGTGGTTGTTGACTGAACTGCAGAGTGCGGGAAGAGAGAGCACATAAACACTAATTGAATAAGTTACTAAAATAATATACAGCTAAAGCAATTCAAGAATGAATAGTGGAATTGTAAAGAGGGCCTCGAAAAGCGCTATATAAATGCAATCCATTATTATTATTATTATCATTATTATTATTATTATTAAGAGAAAACAGCTGTGATGCCTGGTTTAGATGAAATCAAAACATGCACAGGGGTCCTAAAAATTAGACGATTCCATGTTCCATAGCAAAACACCAAATCTGCCATGTGACCAGCTGTTTTGATGTGATGAAGAACATAATTGATAAGCATGACAAGCATCCAGTCTCCCGTTTTCTTAACCACCTAACCACAGGCTTATTGGAAGGATCTGAACCTACCTATGATGATACGCACACCTTGGGTTTCATGGTCCATAACATAGCAGCAGTGCAAAAGATTGAGAATGTTATACTGGACTATACTGCGTTTGACAATCAGAATATTTTTAATTGACTGTATTGTTTAAATTAGAGTTTTAAAATTACATCATAAATACCCCATCTAAAAACTACTGTGCCTTTAAAGTGATTTTTTTTTCAAACATTTTCAATGATTTCTTATGTAAAGTCCTGTTTGGCGCATCATCGTGACCTGCCAACCCTGCGAGCCCTTGCAGATCAGAAGAACGAACCCTATTAGTGTGATTGGCATGTGTTCTGCCTGCGTGTTAGGGTTCACGTTGACAAGAGCCAATTGAAGCGGTGCGGTGAGACCTTGTCACTGTAACTGACATGTTATGTCCCAAACTCCAGGAATCATGTGCATCAGCTGTGGCCCCAGCAGCACTTGAGAAGGCCTATCAGTTTGGATTGACCAGAAACAGCCACATGAGCTTCGCCTTTGATGACAACAATGTCAGAGACAAGTACGTTCAAAACAAATGAGCTTTTTCAAATGAATAATGGATTTGAGTTATTTATTTTTTTAATGGTTCTTGGCAAACATGTAGACAGTGCTGCTTTGTGGAATTTAGGTTTTTACAGTGGAGTTATGCAGTAGCTGTCATAGATGAGACAAACCTTTGTAGTATCGTCTAAAACTTGGATGTAATAGCAATGAAAATATTCATCTCAATCAATTTGAGTTTATTGCAAATTATTTACTGTAAAGAAAAATGTGCAATGGGAGGAAATATTCAAATATTATAAAGTAACAGTTGCATGATCACCTTAGTAAGAAATTGTAATATGCAAGTAGAACTGTGTGCATTTGAAGCACATTGTAAGTATGTCATTATTACAGATGATATGCCCTTAATGTTTTTCTGAATAATTACATAGTTGGATGAAGCAGCATAAAAAGAAAATACTGTAAAAGTTAGTCACCCCAGTTACAAATGTAGCTACAGGATAACCCCACCACCTGTAACATAGTTAACATAGCAACCCCAGATACGTGTGTGTGATCTGCAGTACGGAGCACATTTCTAAATAAATAAATAAAAAGCAGAAGTGAGCGGTAGTTTTAGCAGGATGTGATTCCTACAAACAGAAAGGTGTACACCGGGTCAAAATCTACTGTATAAGAAACAACATCTTAAAAAAATGAACATGTTGGCTGGACCAGCCGTCAGAACAACCCTTCTGGTCCACAGCAAACTGACAGTAACAAAAAAAACACACTCTACAAACAAGGCGAAGGTCAGAGTATGCTTTAGTTGTTGTCGTGGTGGTCTGTGCAAACAAGGGATTTGTGTCTTGGGCAGTGTCTCTGACTGTTTTAAGAATCACACTTGTAACATTTAATTACTTCACATGCTCCCTAAGCTGCAAGGCAGCCTGCTGTCCAAGTAAATCACCATGTATCCATTACTCTGTGTATCTGTCAGTGCTAGAAAACACAAACCTGACCCAGATATTGAACTCTTCAAACTTAAGTTTGTCCTTAGAAACACTTCTTGTAATAATCAAGGCTATGCAGAACTAAAGACAATTACTAATGTAAATCTTTGGGGTGTAAAATATGGTTTGAAATATTGAAATGGTACAGTCAAAGAACATACTAGACATTATTTTGTATGCTGTATGCCCTGATCTCAATCAATCGAATCGTTTGACTAAGATAATAACAGAAACTGGTCACAGTCCTTTAAGATTTCCTGTCTCACGCGAACTCTTAGTATTAGAATTTAGTAATGTCTTTTTGCATCAGTAGCATCAGTCACATATTTCACGTAGGCTTTTTTTGACTCTTTATTTCTTTGTTTTCAACCATTCATTTGTTCTTTAGGCTGTTCATGGTTGCTTTAGGTTGTGATCTTTTTGGACTGCTTCTACAGTAACTTCAGAGTCACAGGCTACAAGGCACAATGATTGCAAGGAATCCAGGTGCTTAAGTAGCAAAGCCTGAAAGATCTCTTGCAAACCTAAAACATGCCACAATGTGGTCGTGCAATGGCTTTCATTAACTTAAATTCTAAATGTGAACTCTAGTAAGTTGTAATGATTTATGCATCTGTTTTTTTTCCTGTTATGCTTGAGTTCTTCTTCACTAGGACTTCAGGATATATGGTGGATGCCAGCTTCCAGGAGAGTAGCAACAGTCCTGTATTTCCTCTATTTATACACAGTTTATTATTGTGGATTTCTAAACACCCAGGGACTTAAATATGCTTTTGATGCTTCACATACAGTTTTTCTATGATGCTCCTTTTAGGTCCTTGGTTCAAACCGACGTATCTTTCTTTAGAGAGCAGGCGTTGTCAGTAAGAAGACTCCATGTTTTTATTTAAAGAGCCTCACAGCTCTACAGCCACCTCCCTCTCTCCAGTTAGCCTTAAGAGAAATCATTAATGAAGAGGTTCATTTCTTTCTTTCTTCTGGTCTGAGTCTGTGTGATTACAAAAAATACAAGTATGTCATCAGTTTAGTCAGATCCTGTTTGCCTTCACAATTCAGAAACCCTGTCTTGCAACTGTACTACAATGTATTCCTGTGTTTGTTTGTTGTGGGGGTTTTTCTCCACAGACTGAAAATTGAGTTTGAGCTGAGGACAAAGGAGTCATCCGGTCTTATTTTCTACATGGCAAGAATCAACCATGCTGACTTTGTTTCCATACAGGTAACTATCTAATATACTGGCAGGTGTTTTTAGTTGTTTCTCTACTGCTGTTTGTCCTGTAGTATTTTTTTAGTTTAAGACTTAATCTCATAAAGGGATGTAAAGTTTGCTCTTTGTGTGTTTGTTTTCCAAATTAGGCCCAGTAGGTACACACTCTGAACTGCTTTTACAACTTAAAAGGTTTCACCTGATAAATTTCCAGTTTGATTTCTGTCTGTGCTGTAGAACTGTATAGAGGCTAAAGCTGTATGTACTCTGTTTTACATGTCTGCTTGTTATTCTCCTTCATCTATCATGAAAACCCTTTTTTATTCTTTAAGATCAAGAATGGTCAGGTTTGTCTGGGTTATGATCTTGGCCATGGAAACATATCTGACTGTGTCCCATACTCCATCAATGATGGAAGCTGGCATAAGGTACAACAGTTCTTTTAACACATTTCTTCAATTATTTGAACAGCATCTCCTGTCTGGATTTGATCTGCATGACATCTTGTATGCAACATTATGATAAGATTCAAAATCTTTACTGTTTCAAGAGCTTAACTGCAATAATAAAAGTTCTGTTGCTTGTTGTTTTATAGCTCTTAAAAGAATTGTTTATAATAGAAAATCTGAACTTTCCTTATTAGGAATAACAATTTGTGTTACACTGCAATGAACACATTGGAAAAGTCACAGCACGTAAAGACAAGTTGTCAGTCTTCATACGTCCAAGGCAACATTTTAGTCATTGATGAAACTATCGGATGCTTGTGATTCAGTTACTTCACCATGTCTACTTCCTTTTTGTTCTCTCTCTGTCTCTGGTTTTTGTTCCTAGATCAGCGTAACGCGTGACAGGCAGAGAGCCACGCTTATTGTGAATAGGCGGTTCCAAAAAATGATGTCAAGTCCAAAGAAGGTGCTCAGAATAACTCATACATGTAGCATAACACAATGCATGACCTGCAAAAGCCGTAATTTGCTCAAACTCCGCTTCTCATACGTTACTCATTACTTGTCAGTGACATCAGAAATAGTCCTTGGACCTGTACTATAAATGAAGTTTATACATCCAAGGTGTTATTCCTTATCTAGCTTCTTAACACTGGCAGTCCTGCCAAACAATAAGTCAACCTAGGGGTTCGATATCTAGCTACAAGCACATTTACGTGAAAGAAGTGGTGTTGGCAGCGTCTGCTGGCTGCACAGCGTGTATTTTATGAAAAACTTACACTATAATATTTCAGAAATATGAAGAGGTTAAACAGAGTATCTAAGCTGTAAGCATCAATACATCCATAAGTGTCCATAGTGATGTACACGCTAAGAGAACCAGCTCCATAACATTGAAACCTAGAATTAAAAGTTGAACTTGCATCACTGAGCCCAAGTCCTGTTTCTGCCCTCTATCGTCACAATGAGGTAGTCAAACTCTTGCCATTATGTCATTCAGTAAATCATGAACTTAAACTGTGGCTAAAACAAAGTTTCACAATGATTTATGTCAAAGATGTTGTACACAGCAGTGCAGGAAACCAAAATGAAGTGTTTTACAACACTGCGTAGCACAAAGGAAAAAAATCACAGAGGAAGCATCAGAAAAGACTCTTTGCATGTTGCATTGGGAGAGGAAATATTTGTTCATATTTGGACTTTAAACTGTGGCCCAGCAAGGGGGTGTTTTCACTCTTTGCATTTCTAATTTTATATTTTTATGCTGTATTTTTGTGTCTTGTCAATTTTCTCTGCTACATCACCTTGACATGGTCATCTCGAGACACATTATTGTAAGAATCAATAATGTAGGACGCAGACAGACAGAATTGCTTTTATTATCTGTACTAATAGAGATGAAATTGTGTGTCAAAGTGACTGTGAGCACTGCAAAAATATTGCGTTAATGAACTGTGTTCTTGTTGCCAGGCTGACCTGTTAGATGTGGTGGGGATTCTGTACGTTGGCGGATTACCACAAAACTATACCACAAAACGAATAGGACCGGTAAAGCACACACACACACACACACACACACGCACACACCATTTAAAAATAGGTAATAAGTCTTTCATTGCATGTCAACACATGCCATCATATTTTTATTTCGGTGCTTCACTTGTTTGTTGTCAGTTTAGTTGTTTTCGATTAACTGAAATAGCTTGAGTGTCATTTCAGTATAAAAATTAAGAACTTCTAGCATGATTAGCCAGTTTTCGAGGACTGAAGTTAGTATCAGTCAGATTTTGAGTGATTTTTGTTCAACGAAAGCCATTTTTATCAACTCTTTTTTTTCTTCATCAAGATTCTCTATAGTATCAATGGATGTATTCGTGACCTTAGGGTGGCTGGAAGCCCTGTAGGAGCTGTTTCAGGTAATGGTTTGTATTGTATTTAATGAGTGCCTATTGGTTTTAATGTCTCTTTTGTTTTGTTGTGTTTTTTTCTCAAAAGAATAGTGTAACAGCTTGATATACGAGATGTTATTTTTGAATGTGCCCAAATAGTTTTTATTAACTTGCTCTCGTTCTATCAAGGTTCTTCTGAGTCCATGATTGACTTTAAACTAGACATGGCCACACCCACATCCAGTCATATGGTTGGAAGGTGCTTCGTTGCTACTGAGACAGGCACTTATTTTGAGGGCACTGGCTTTCTAAAAGCAGGTGAGATGACGCTCAGAGCATGTAAAGGATTTTTTTGTTTTATTTCATTTTTTTCCTGGTCATGTTGTACATGCATATAAATTACCTAGCAATGACCTGATTTTGGTTCTTTTGCTGTTTTATTTTATTTTATTATATATTGATCTGAATAAATTTTACTTATTGGAATGTCTTTGTACAAAATGTGCCTTCCATTTCTCACCAACAGTTACTCTTTGTCTTTATCTAGTCTCATCCTATAGAGTGGGTCTGGATGTGTCCATAGCATTAGAGTTCCGGACCAGCAGAACCAGTGGAGTGCTTTTGGCAGTCAGTAATCAAGGCAATGATGGACTGGGGCTAGAAATTGTCGATAGCAAGGTACGCAACACTCATTTATGGCTCAGTCGCACCAAATATAGTGTGTATAGTAAATATAGGATAAGACCCTCCTTGTGACTAGAAAAAAACAGCAGGGATTGCACTGGATTTTTTTCACCTTTGCTGACTGAATGCAAGTAGTTGTGGTGACCAGCTGGTTGTCCAGAGGTTGAACATACAATGCCCTTAACCTTTGGGTAATCATTTCTGACAGATTTATCAGCAGTAAATCTTTGCTACTGTCTGATTTATAAATGCAGAAAAATTGCCAACACATTGCAATCAATCTTGGTCACTTTGCACCAATGAGCGCAATTTGTCTGTGACGTGTTCCACAATAAGTTCCCTGTTGTTAGACACACTGAGGGACTCTACTGAACTGGTTGCCAACTGCTTCCATTGCCATATTACAATTAAATCACAGACATCATGAACTCCTGAATTTTAGTTTCAGATCTATGAAGTTCTGGCTGGACTTTCAACATAAGTACTTAATGTGAATTTCTGTGTAACAGATTTGCGATTATTACAAACAGATTGCATGTAATTAACACATTGAAGCCATTCAGTTGCAGACTGACACCGTTTGGTGCAATTATGGTCACAGACATAGCAGCCATGTTTGAATTGGCCGCTTTCAGTTTCATTGTACATGGTCTTAATAATTTTGTTAATGTTGCAATTTCCAGCCACTGTTGCACTGCGCAGTGGTTCTCAAGCTTTTTACATCAATCCCCACGTGGCAAGAAGAAATACTTTCAAGCCCCATCTAAACAAAATAATGACAGAAAAGCCTGCCTGCAACTTTATTTAGATAATAAACTCATTCACAATGAATCATTCAGTAATTTTTGTTTTAAACAAACAACTTTCATTTCAAACAACTATTTCTTAACTTTTAGTCTGCACCACTTCTTCAAAAAGGTAAAAAGTTAAACAGAATGTGAACATTGCCAGACATAGAAAAATAAAATTCAGTCTTAGTCTTATAAAAAAAGAAATCCCCAGAAACTTGTGAACAGAGGTGAAAAATATATAATTTAGTGAGAGTTTAATGCTATTCACTCTTAAAGGCTGCAGTCAGCCTGTTTTTGACAGCAGAGCTGTGGCGGGGCGTGGAATGGGGCGTGGCTGCGGGGGAGATGGACGCACCTGTGCGGCATCCCCAGTCACGTCTCCCCAGCTTAGGACAGAATGAACTGGGTCCTGTTGTTGTTGTTGATATGTGTAGGCTGTAGCCGAAAAGCTGCATTCACGTGTGTAAGTCGACAGGCGCAATATAGTGCGAACATGCAGCCCAATCCTGGGTTTTGGCACCACTGTAAACGATGGACGACAGACACAACCACATGTTCGCACTTTTCACTACACTTCTTTATTGCGGCTGATGAATTACACGCGTGGCTGCGTGCAGCTTTTCAGGGATGCAGCGGATGCACATATTATTAACGTAACTGCTGCAAATTTCTTGTTTCTTTCCGCCGTAAAAGTGATTCTGATGTTAAACATTAGTTCTGCATGACTTTTCTGCCAGGTAACTTGC